GGCAATCCACTCACCTCAGCCTCCCAAGGTGTGGGATTACAGGCTGAGTCACCGAGCCCGAGTCCGGCTTCCTTATTCCTTTAGAACATTATCTTCGGCCGGGTGTGGTGGCTCATGTCTGTAATCCCAGGACTTTGGGAAGTAGAAGTGAGAGGATTGCCTGAGCCCACGGGTTCGAGACCAGCCTAGGCAACATGGTGAGATCTCATCTCTACAATAAATAAAAAAATCAGCTGGGTGTGGTGACGTATGCCTATAGTTCTAGCTACTTGGAAGGCTGAGAAGGCTGAGGTGGAAGGATCACTGGAGCCCAGCAGGTTGAGGCTGTGGTAGCCATGAGCATGCCACTGCACTTCAGCCTGGGTGACAGAATGAGACAATGACTGACAAAAAAAAGGACATTAGCTTCCTTGTTGTGTTGACATAATTCCTGCCATCAAAATAAAAGTATTTGGCTGGACATGGTGGCTCAAGCCTGTAATCTTTGGGAGGCCAAGGCGAGAGGATTGCCTGAGTCCAGGAGTTTGAGACCAGCCTGGGCAACTTGGCGAGGACCTCATCTCTACAATAAATCAAAAAAATTAGCTGGACGTGGTGGTGCCCACCTGTAGTTCTAGCTACTTTGAAAGCTGAGGCAGGCCGGGCTTGGTGGCTCAGCCTGTAATCCCGTGCCTTTGGGAGGCTGAGGTGAGTTTATTGCCTGAGCCCACGGGTTCGAGACCCGCCTGGGCAACTTGGTGAGACCTCATCTCTACAATAAATAAAAAAACATTACCCGGGCATGGTAGCGCACGCCTGTAGTTCCAGCTACTTGGAAGGCTGAAGTGAAAGGATTGCCGGCGCCCAGCAGGTTGAGGCTGCAGTGGCTGGGAGCGGCCACAGCACTCCAGTCTGGGTGACAGAGTGAGACTCCAACTCAAAACAAACAAACAAACAAAAAAAACCCTGGTCTCAGGCAATCCTCTCGCCTTGGCCTCCCAAAGTGCTGGGATTACAGGCTTGAGCCACCGCGCCTGACCTTGTTGATCTTTTATGGGTTTAAATTACTCCTAATCTGGATACTTAGAAAGTTACTTTTAAAATGGTAATATCATTTTGAGCCCTAGAAATTAAATAATATTCTTGGAAGAATGACACCTAATTAGTATGTAAGTGGTTATGATTATATTCTTTTTGTTGCCTGAACAAAACTCAACCTATATAATTCTGTTAATATATAGATATGAAAATATGTTGCGTGTTGACAGTTTTTCCCCTAAATTTCTGCTTCTAGTGAATTTGGTTCCAAAATCATCTTGCTTAAGCCAATTATCAAAGTGTTGCCAAAACTCTTTGAGTCTCGAGAGAAGGCTGTTCGAGATGAAGCCAAACTAATTGCTGTGGAGATTTACAGGTGGATTCGAGATGCCTTGAGACCGCCATTGCAAAATATAAACTCTGTTCAGGTGAGGTGGAAAGTTTTCTGGTTTCCTTTGCCTAAGATTAATATAAAAATATTTTCTTCCTGTCATTGTTGATATTTTGTCCTTACACATAATATTTCATTCTTAATTTTGAAATCTCTTGATTTATCTGAGCATAGCTAACATTGCCTGCTGTTACTTTGTCCTTTCAAATTAAATACCACGCATTCAGTGACTTTAGTATGTGAGTATTAAATCTATAATAGTTTAAAAGACTTCTTTTTAAGGCCAGGCATGTTGGCTCATGCCTGTTATCCCAACACCTTGGGAGGTCAAGGCGGGAGGATCACTTGACCCCAAGAGTTTGAGACCAGTCTACGCAACATAGCCAGACCTTGACTCTACAAAAAAAAATTTAAAAATTAGCCAGCCATAGTGGTGTGCACCTGTAGTCCCAGCTACTAGGGAGGCTGAAACTTAAGTCCAGGTGGTTGAGGGTGCAGTGAGCCGTGATTGTGCCTCCAACCTGGGTGGCAGAGTAAGATCCCAACTCAAAAATAATAAAATAAGTAAATAAAATATAAAAGGCCTCTTTATAATTCCATTGTGTGGCAGAACTTAGAACCTGTTTGGGTGAAATGCATTCTATCTGGCTTTTTGTTTTTAAAGTCAAGGTCTCACACTGTTGGTATGTCTGGAGTGCAGTGGCACAATCACAGCTCACAGAAGCCTCAGACTCCTGGGCTGAAGCAATCCTCCTGTCTTAAACCTCCCAAGTAGATTGATCTATAGGTGTGCAACATCGCCCCTGGCTAATTTTCTAAATTCTTTATAGAGACAAGGTCTTGCTATGTTGCCCAGTCTGATCTTGAACTCCTGGGTAATTTTTCTACCTTGGCCTCCCAAATTGCTGGGATCGCAAGTATGAGCCACTGTGCCTGGCTTTTTATTACAATTGGTTTTGGAAACTTTTCTGACAACGCAAGTGTACCTGAATTCATGAATTAATGAAAATGTCTTTAAAAACTGATTTTATTCTTTCTTAGTACTTAGACATTTGATTTGTCTTCCATGTAGTAACTACAAGTCACTTTGACTTCTGTCATAAAATAGATAACTGGCTGGGCTCGGTGGCTCAGCCTGTAATCCTAGCACTTTGGGAGGCCAAGGTGAGTGAATTGCCTGAGCCCATGGGTTCGAGACCAGCTTGGGCAACCTGGCAAGACTTCGTCTCTACAATAAAATAAAAAATAGCCAGGCATGGTAGCATGCATCTGTAGTTCCAGCTATGCGGAAGCTGAGGTGGAGGGATCACTGAAGCCCAGAAAGTCAGCACTGGTGTGGCCATGAGCGTGCATGCCACTGCACTCCAGCCTGGGCGAAGGAGTAAGACTCCAACTAAAAGAAAAAAAAAAAAAAGATACAACTTAAATTATTTTCTTGTTTGCCCTATTAGAGCCACATCAATAAGAAATTGGGTCCTGATATGTCAGTGAATATAAGTGTTAAGTATGTTCTCTAATGGTGGAGAGGTAGATATGATTTTAAAATACTTGATGATATTTGCAGTTGAAAGAACTAGAAGAAGAATGGGTCAAACTACCAACAGGTGTTCCTAGACCTAGTCGATTTCTTCGTTCCCAGCAAGAACTAGAAGCTAAATTAGAACAGCAACAGTCTGCTGGTGGAGATGCTGAGGGAGGTAAGCCAATTTTAAACGCTGGTTCTGTAAAAATTAGCAAGAACAAGAATCTGTGTTCACTAGGCATAATTTGTAGAACTACCTTTAAGAAAATATAAGTTGCAGCTGGGCTTGGTGGCTCAGCCTGTAATCCTGCGCCTTTGGGAGGCTGAGGTGAGTAGATGGCCTGAGCCCGTGGGTTCGAGACCCGCCTGGGCAGTGAGACCTCATCTCTAGAGTAAATCAAAAAATCAGCCGGGCGTGGTAGCATATGCCTGTAATTCCGGCTACTTGGAAGGCTAAGGTGGAAGGATCACCGGAGCCCAGCAGGTTGAGGCTGCGGTGGCTGGGAGCAGCCACTGCACTCCAGTCTGGGCGACAGAGTGAGACTCCAACTCAAAAAAAAAAAAAAAAAAAGGAAAATATAAGTTGCATGTATCATGAATCCCTGTGGTCCCTTCTCTATTAATATTTCATCAGGATTGTGAAAGAACTGAACTGTTTAATGAGCAAAACCATTCCATCTGTTTTTAAGGTCTGTTTTGTTTTTTTTCTCCTTTCAAGTTGTTGATGATGGTGATGAGGTGCCACAGATAGATGCTTATGAGCTTCTGGAAGCTGTAGAAATTCTTTCCAAACTTCCCAAAGACTTTTATGACAAAATTGTAAGTAATAGTTGAACTCCTGTCATTTATTTCTTTTTCAATAATTACTTGACTAGAATTGGAGAATGTCTGCTGAGCCCTTGCCTGGTGTGCTCCTTTCTGCTCTTTATCTTCCCTAGTAAAGTAAGTTGTTCCTCTTGACTTACTACTTCTTCGTATGTATGTGTATCATAGCCCTTTTTTTGGTACATGTTTTGCCAAAAAAAAGAACATTCTTGACTTCCCTTCTCCTCATTTTCCTTCTGATTTTATCTTTATTTTAAATTTTATCTCATTTTTAAGACAGAGTCTCGCAGTGTTGCCAAGTGGGAGTGCGGTGGCATGATCATAGCTCACTGTAACCTTGAACTTCTGGGCTTAAGCAATTCTCCTGCCTCAGTCCCCAAGTGGCAAAGACTATAGATGTATACCACCATGCCTGGCTTCTGGTTTTACCTTTCAATATATCTCAAATTCATCCCCTTTCCTCCATCTCCACTCCCACTGCTTTACTCCAAGTTTTCTTGGTCTTAGCACTGTTGACTTTTTTTTGTCAGATAATTCATTGTTTTGGTGGGGCTGTCCTATGCATTGTATGATGCTTAGCAGTATCTCTGACTGTTACCCACTAGGTGTCAGTAATTTCATCCATTTAAGTCATGACAATTAAAGATATCTCCGGACACTGCCAAATGGAGACAAAGTCCTCCCCAGTTGAGAAACGGTCTTTTCGCAATCACCACCATCATCTCTTGTCTTCCTTGCCGCGCTAGTCTTATGATACTCCTTGTCTCTCTGCTCTTGCCTCCTTCTTCCCATTTTAAAATCTGATTACTCAGCGGCAGTGACACACCTGTAATCCCAGCCCTTTAGGAGGCTGAGGTGGGAGGATTGCTTGAACTCAGGGGTTCAAGACCAGCACAGGCAACATAGTGAGACCTCGTCTCTACCAAAAAAAATTTTTTAATTAGCCTAGTGTGGTGGTATATTCCTGTAGTCCCAGCTACTTGGAAGGCTGAGAAGGGTGGATCCCTTCAGCCCAAGAGGTCAAGGCTGCAGTGAGCCGTGATCATGTCACTGTACTCCAGCCTAGGTGACAGAGTGACACCCTAACTCCAAAAAAAAAACAAAAAACCTCATTAAACTCTTTAGTGGATTCCATGGATCTTGCATTGGTGTCTGAAATCATCCTGTGGCCACTGAGGCTATCTGTGGCACCTTTAAGTCCCCCATTTACCTTCCAGCCACATCATTCATTGCTCTCACTCTCCATGCTCCTGTCATACTGGACTTCTCCCAGTAGCAAATATACTACATTAAAAAAAAAAAAAAAACTCTGAGCCTTAATATTTGTTATTCTTTCTGCCTCTAACATTCTTCTCCCACCATTCATCCTCGATCTCACTTTAAGGTCACTTTTTAGGGAAGAGCCCACCTGACTACCTAAGCTAGGTTAAGTCCTCTCGCTCCATTGCCAAAGCAGCTTGTACTTCTCCTTTCATAGTGGTCACAGCCTTGTAGTTATTTATCGAAGATCTTCTTAGCTCTACTGCCAGCCACTTGAGCATCCTGTTAACTTCTAATTAACAAGTAAATATTTGATAAATTGAATTGAACTGTAATTTCCTCCAGGGTGGTGAGTTTGTCATCTTCTTTGTATCCCCAGTTTTTTCGAGTCGTGGGCATTCCAATTGCTGAATGATTGCCATGAAGCATATTTTCCTTTTGGCCACAAAACAAAAGGTTTAGCATTTTACCCACAATCCAGAAAATTAGCTCCAAGATTAGAAGAATTTAGGTTGTTATGTGATTTTTCATTTCTAGTCTTTTTAATGTTGTCAGTGTAGAGATTCCGCTCCTGTAATTGTGCTGCTGTAAGAAGTCTAGAAAGGTTTTCTGTCAGTGTTTTCTGTTTGACATCTGGTTACTAACATTGGAAACATTAGAAAATTAGAACGAAAAGTCCATGGCATTCTGTTTACTTATATTACTTTAGAGTTATGAAGTCTTATGAAAATACTTTTATATATGAACAAAATACTCTTATTGCATAGTTTTGTAATTTTGTTTTTTAGTTAACTTTAGAAAGTTTCTGGAAGCAAAGAATTATTATGTATCTTTGAATCAGTAGAGTGCAAGAAATAGACTTTTATTCTGCTCTCTTATTTTCAGTTCTACAAATGACTCGTGTTGTGTCTTACAGGAGGCAAAAAAATGGCAAGAGAGAAAAGAGGCCCTGGAGGCTGTAGAAGTACTAGTGAAAAACCCCAAACTGGAAGCTGGCGATTATGCAGATCTAGTAAAAGCATTAAAGAAGGTAAATAAAGGAGTTTCAGCATTGGTGTTCTAATACCCAACCAAACCAATACATTTCTTTCTCTTCATCAGTTATCTTTCTCTTTATAAATCCATTACCATTTAAAGAATACAATGATGGTTATTTAAATTACAGGCATACGTTTTTAAAGAATTGTTTAAAATTACTGTCCTAGGTTAGTTTGGCTTTTAATCTTTTTTATCATTTTGGCTTTAAGTATGCTATTTGATGGCTTCTGTAAACCTCAAGAAAAAGAGATCTTGCTGATCTTGAACTAAATACAACTATTTAAATTAGCTGTATTTAATTGGACAGATATTAAGTATGAAGATAGCAAATGATAGCATACTAAATTGTATCAGCATGTAAAAGCAAAGGGCTTAGGGACTGTGGCCAATTATGAAGCCGACAAGTACTACATAAGCAGTAAACATTGTTAGAAAATGTAGCCTAGCGCAGTGGCTCAAGCTTGTAATCCCAACACTTTGGAAGGCTGAGGAGAGAGGATTGTGTGAGCCCAGGGGGTTCGAGACCAGCCTGAGCAACACTGTGAGACCTCATCTCTACAATAAATCCAAAAATTAGCTGGGTGTGCTGGCGCATACCTGTTATGCGGAAGGATCACCTGAGCCCAGCAGGTTGAGGCTGCGTTGGCCGTGAGTGTGCCACTGCTTCCAGCCTGGGAGTCAGAGTGAGACTCCCAACTCAAAAAAAAAAAAAAAAAAAAAATGTATTGGTATTTTTCAGGTCCAACAAATTGAATGCTACTGGTAGGTATTTTTTTTTGTTTGTTTTTTATGTAATGCCTTGTTAATAAAATCTGAAAGTTTGGATCAAAAACTGAATAATTATAGAGTTTAAGAACAAACTCTGCAGACATCTTGAATACATCAAGACTAAAAACTTTGCTTACTTTCTCAGTCTGAAATTACAGTGGATTAGAATGGTGGGGGGAGGAAGTTGATCTTTAATTACATGTACATCTGTGTGATTCTCATTATTTGTGATAATTATATTCTATTCCGTTGCTAAGAACACTAAATTAGTGAATACTGAACCAGTGCTTCAGGGGAAGCACAGGGCTAGGGTCCTGCCTCCTCTGGTCTCATTTTCATCAACTGATCAATACATAACCTTGTTTTATTCAGTTTGAAGTTACGTTATATAATATATATTGATGATACATTAATATTGAACTCATGGCCAACAGCACTAGAACTCATACCTGAATGAAGCGTTTCTAAAACATGTATTTTCTTCATAAGCCACTTAGGAATATTGGAAAACATTTCAGCACTTCACTTGGGGGTCATTTTAAATAGCAAGAGCCCAACAAAAAGCACCAAAATGCAAAAAAAAAAGCTAAATAGACCATGAAAATGTCACTTGTTTATAGTATGAGAGCTGAAACAAAAGGCAGAGCATTACCCTGTTCCGCCTCAGCTGGGAGCGTACACATGGGGCAACTGAGAATTTTCGAAGCTCTGCACTTGTCTGTGAATGACCAACAAAGTACCATGAATATTGACTTGGGGGTTACAAATACAAATTTTAGTATGTGAGTTCTCAAATACAGCTCTGAGAATGATGAGAGTTGACTTTATATTCTGGTAGTTAATCTTGCTATGCTTTCCTCCAGTGGGATTTGGAGGCAGGGATATGATTGGTCAAGTCGTTGTTCAGTCATCAGTTTTCTGTCTTAAACAACCACAGACTCACTTGTGATTAACTGAAAGAGAATTGCCCTGGGGGAAGAGGGTTTTACTAACTGGGAGCCTGTGAATGGGAATGGGAAGAAGAATGAGAAGAAGGGGGGGGGGGAGGGCGCTGAAACTGGGGTAGTTGGGAAGTCAGATTCCAATGGCTTGTGAAGAGAACTTCAGATTCTGTCAGTCCTTCTAGCATGAAATTTTATTTATTTAGTTTTTAAATTTGTTTGTGGAGACAAGATCTCACTATATTGTCCAGGCTGGTCTCAAACTCCTAATTTTTATTAGGAGTCTTGTACTGCCACTGAATTCTTGATATGTCAAACAAGACCTTTTATTTTTCCTTATTAATATTATGTTTCCTACATGCGTTTTCTTAGAATGTTAACTTTTTATATAAAGACAGTTCTATGATTTCCACTGACATTGTGAATATAAATGCAGTTTCTCCCTGTATTGGGAGTCCAGAGAAAGGATCAAGGATTTTATATTTGGGTAGACAGAAAACAGATTTCTAAGAGACTTAGGATAGCAGTAGAAGCTTCTTTCTCATTTCACATGGTGGGGTAGGGGAAACAAAGGCCACAAGCAAGTAAAAAGAAACTTAACTTTATGGATAAAATATTTAAAACAAGGAGGAGTTAGTTGTTTTCTGTTTGTTTGAGTTGAAGTCTTACTCTGTCTCCCAAGCTGGAGTGCAATGGTACGCTCATGACCACCGTAGCCTTGAACCTGCTGAGTTCAGGTGATCCTTCTGCCTCAGCTTTCCAAGTAACTGGAACTGCAGGTGTGCACCACCACACCCGGCTAATTTTCTTATTTTTTGTAGAGATGAAGTCTCTCTATGTTGCCCAGGCTGGTCTTGAACTCCTGGGCTCAAGTATAGGCATGAGCCACCACACCTAGCTGATTTTTTTTATTTTTTAGATTGGAAAATATAGTTTATTTAAAAAGTAAATTAGAGAGAGAAAGACAGACAGACAGTAGGGAAGGGGGCCAAAGCCGGGAATCGTGGCAACAGCCATAGCTCAAAGAGCATAGGGTCACACCAGAGTCTAGTAAGCCAATGACTAATACGTATATTTTTTATCTTTAGATTAAAATTTGATTTTCTAGGTGTTATGTTTATCAAAAATATCAGCTTGACCATTCTTGGAATATGTATTTAGATGCTAAATGTGAAGCCTAGCACCTAAATCATACCTGAGAAGTATTTTGGTAAAGCAACATAGAACATTTACAAATACCAGTAGTGGTTTCAGTACAGAAATTAATGAAAAATTTTTTCTCCGTAGAGCTATAGTAATTAGAGATTTAACAAAATGTTTATAAAGACCCTGATCTCATCTCATAAAGAAAATGTACTTGCCATAACACAAGTTTAGAGGGGAGAGCATGCTTTAGTAAAGGAAGCAAAAGTTTCTGAGTCAAAACAGGCCTGGGTTTGAATCACAGCACTATCGTTTGTTAGCTATATGACCTTGAGCAAATTAATTTCTACTTAATATTTGGCAGCTGCTAAATTGAGATGATGATAGTACTCACCTCACAGGATTTGAGTGAAAATTAAATTTAGAGAATTGTAGGCGAGGTGCAGTGACTCACGCCTATAATCCCAACACTTTGGGAGGCTGAGGCAGGAGGATTGCTTAGGCCCAGGAGTTCAAGACCAGCCTGGGCAGCATAACGATACCTCATCTCCGTAAACATTTTTTTAAAAAATTTTTTTAAATTAAAAACAAACCCAGGCATGATGGCATATGCCTATAGACCTAGCTACTTCGGAGCCTAAGGTGGAAGGATCACCTGAGTCCAGGAGGTCAAGGCTATAGTGAGCTATGATTGCACCATATAGTCCTGCCTGAGCAACAAAGTAAATCCTGACTCAAAAAAGAAAAAAGAATTATAAAACATCTACAAAATTGTGGTGCCTAATTTGTTTTGGTTTTTGTTGTTTGTTTTTGAGCCAGAGTTGGAGTTCAGTAGCACAATCACAGCTCACTTGTAGCCTCTACCTGCTGGGTTCAGGCAATCCTTCCACCTTAGCATTCTAAGTAGCTGGAACTACAAGTGTGCACCACCAAGCCCAGCTAATTGTTTTATTTGTTGTAGAGATGAGGTCTTGCCAAGTTGCCCAGGCTGGTCTCAAACTCGTGGGCTCAGACAATCCTCTTGTTTCTGCCTCATAAAGTGCTGGGTTTACTGGCATGAGCCACCGTCCCCAGCCTAATTTGTTTTTAAATAAATTTTAGTCTCTTAACCCTTACTCTTTAGCACTTAGGGAGTGCATAAATGCCAACTAGGATTTTCTTGCGTTAGAGTTTGTTTCATGCAGGAAATCTAGAATAAAGCATTCTACTTATGAACACCAGATCTCAGGGACTAGATAAGATTCAAAGTAAAAGGCAGGCATTACTTGTACTGGGAAGAGTGAAGAAATAAGAGTTTGGGGCACTTATAAGTAAAGCAGCTTTTTAACACGAACTGACTTGGGCAATATATTACAGTAAAATCTTACCAGGAAGGAACCTAGTCGTAATTAGTGTCTTGCTGAACCGACACAAATGTGGATACTACACATGAGTTTAGGTAATTTATGGGCTTTGTGAGGTTAGCATAGGAGGGTCGTAGTTGTAAACAGTGCTCGAGAAGAATCTGCTAAGAAACTCTAAATAGGCCGAGCACATTGGCTCAGCCTGTAATCCCAGCTGAGATGAGAGGATTGCTTGAGCCCAGGAGTTCGAGATCAGCCTGGGCAACTTGGTGAGACCTCGTCTCTACAAAAAAAATCACAGAAACTAGCCAGACGTGGTGGCATACATCTGTAAGCTAAGGTGGAAGGATCGCCTAAGCCTAGCAGGTTGAGACTGTGGTGACCGTGAGTCTGCCACTGTACTCTAGCCTGGGCAATAAGAGTAAGACTCCAACTCAAAAAAAATAAAAATAAAAAAAATAAACTCTAAATACAAGCCTAATGATCATTAGATGACTACACTGGCAGCTTTAAGCCAAGAATCTTCCTTAGAGGAATGGCTGCAGTGGCATTCATAATTTAGAGTCCCCATGGACTTCGTGAAGCTACCTGCAGCAGTTTCTACTGGTGCTCCTTGAGTGTTAATGTTACCCTATGGTATATTTCAGAGATACGTCGTCTTTTTGTTTTCCCTATTCCTAAGCAAAGTCTGCAGACCTCCAACTTTTCTGCTGTTATCAGGGTCACCTCTTGCACAATTGAGCAGTGCTGTCAGCCCTGACTGCCACTCCTGGATAGTGTGCAATTTGAAATTGTGGTTTTATGTATATTTTCTTGGTAGAACCTAAAGCTAGGAGACTAAACATAATAAAGGGAAGGCTGCCAAACTGGTATCATGAAAGAGCAATTTTTCCTCTTTTGTAGGAAACAAAATTGGGCATCCATTAGCATAAGAGCTTTCAGAGTTCTTTTGAGAATAAATTTTCAGTGCCCTTTTATAGGACTATTTTGTTTTCCTTTTCCCCCCCTTTTAAGGTTGTTGGAAAGGACACTAATGTCATGTTGGTGGCTTTGGCAGCAAAATGTCTTACTGGCCTGGCTGTTGGACTAAGGAAGAAATTTGGACAATATGCAGGACATGTAAGTAATACTCCTTTTTAGATGCAAATCAACAAAATTATTAAAAAATGACAGTCTTGGCTGTGCTCGGTGGCTCAGCCTGTAATCCCAGCACTTTGGGAGGCTGAGGCGAGGGGATTGCCTGAGCCCATGGGTTCGAGACCAGCCCCGGCAACTACAATAAAATAAAAAACTAGCCAGGCGTGATAGCGCACGCCTGTAGTTCCCGCTACTGGGAAGGCTGAGGCCGAAGGATCGCCAGAGCCCGCAGGTCGACGCTGGAGTGATTGTGAGCATGCCACTGCGCTCCAGCCTGGGCGACGGAGGGAACTCTGAGTCAAAAAAGGAAAAAAAATGACAGTCTTAGTTTGCTTTATGCCTTAAAATAACTCTTTGGCATAGATCTTCATATATTGTACCACGTAAGTTTCTAAGTTTTATTAATATTTAACAGAGTTACATGAATTTCAATAGAGATGTTATGAATAACTAAAATTGCAGGTCATATATAGAAAGTCAGACACTTGACTTTGTTGAGTTGATTTATTTGCCTGTTAACTTTTTACTTATTAGCACCATGCTTTGTTCTTATAACATGTACAATTATGTAATGAGATGAAATGAAACTTTTTTTTTTTTTTTTTTTTTTTTTTGAGTTGGAGTCTCGCTCCGTCACCCAGACTGGAGTGCACTGCAGCCTCGACCTGCTGGGCTCCGGCGATCCTTCAGCCTCAGCCTTCCGAGTAGTCGGAATTACAGGCATGCGCTACCACGCCCAGCTGATTTTTTGATTTATTGTAGAGATGAAGTCTCGCCAACTTGCCCAGGCGGGTTTCAAACCTGCCGCCTCAAGCAATCCACTCACCTTAGCCTCCCACAGCGCTGGGATTACAGGCTGAGCCACCGAACCTGGCTTTTTTTTTTTTTTTT